GAAGATGAAGGAGAAGACTGCGGCTTTGAGCAGAGAGATGCCATCTCCTTTACAAACAATAGGAGCTGCAGAGGAAGTGCTGAGAGCTGAAGATGTCTCATTCCTGCAGAACTACAGCGCTACACTGAAAAGTGTCAAGCAGTATTCCTCAACGGATGATCCACCGCTGGTCTCAGAAGCTCTTATAGATAAGCACCTGGGAAACCTGACTTACAACATCTGGAACAAGATGAAGGGGGTGGTTTTTTACGCTCCTGGGACTCCAAACGCTGGTCATCCAGAACGCTCCGTCTCCGAAGATCTGACCAGTGAGAGGCACCAGTCTCCTGACAAGCCAGAAAGGTATCCAATTTTTCTGTCTACAGGAATTCCCACTAAAGGGTGTGGTGGACTCCAGTAAGGTCAATATTCCTGAGAATACTAACAAAAAATCTACTGGGTTTGGGATTTAGGAGAAAAATACAAATGACTGATAGTGTTAGGATACTATTATTACCTGCTTTGATGACTTAATTCTCACTGGGTTTAATCTGATGTGGGCCATCTGATGATCTACGTTTTGGGCCTTTTTTAGTATTGGATGAAGTACATAGTCCTGTCTTTTCTTCTTTGTACATTTTATTTTGAGGTGGGTTAAAATTCACTTTCTTTTTTTTATTCAGCACCTTTCAAAATTAGACAGTAAAAAGTTCAGCATCAGAATCTTTTTGTGTGTGATAATGAATAACTAATTTAGAGGTTGTGCTTCTGATTTGTCTATTCAACGATCAAATGAAGGCGACAGTGCAAAGGTAAAACCCTCTTAACAGGAAGAACCTTCCTGCAGAACCAGGCTCAGGGAGGGGCAGCCATCTGGTGTGACTGGGTATGGGTAAGGGGAGGAAGACGGGACAAAAGACATGCTGTGGGAGAGAGCCAGAGATTAATAATAACTAATGATTAGATGTAGAGCGGGGTATAAACACAAGGTGAGTGAAGAAGAAACACGTAGACCTATTGGAGCGTAACTAAGGGAGGATTCAGGGTCACCTGATCACACCCTAACCATAAGCTTTGCCAAAAACAAAGTTTTATGCCCAATCTTAAAAGTAGAGAGGGTTTCTGTTTACCCAGTCCAATCTGAGAGCTGGCTCCACAGAGGTGGTGCCTGAAAGCTGAAGGGTCTGCCTCCAACTCTACTTATATTATTCTGGGAACAACAAGTAAGCCTGCGATGTGAGAGTAAAGTACTCTAATGGGGTGATATGGTACTATCAGGTCTTTAAGGTAAGATGAACACTGATTATTTGGGACCGTGTATGTGAGGAGATGGATTTTAAATAATATTCTGGATTTAAACGGACACCAGTAAAGAAATATCTCTTGCCAGTTGGCATAAACTGGTCAGATGGTTGTAGCTAAAATATCTGGGCATTTTCATATCTGGTTGCTGCTGTGGTTCATACTGTTGTGCCCTGAGAATCAGAGTCTGTGCTGATTGTCTCTGATCTTTCGGTCTCTTCAGGTTTTGGATTCTGTCCACTCACGATGCCAGCAAAGTACGAGCCAGCGGCCCTGGGCTGACTAGCAGTGTCTCTGCCACATTTCCCGCTGAGTTTAACATTGACGCTAAAGATGCTGGCCAGGGTGAACTGAGCGTGCTCGTCGTGGTCTGTATCAGACACACTTATATACATACGGTAAAACAGATATCACTTTAACTTCCATTCCTTCCTCTTCAGGACCAGGGTGGTAAAGATAAGCAGGCCAGCATCCATGACAACGGGGACGGTACATACCGGGTATCATACGTCCCCAACCGTGACGGCTGGTACACCATCATTATAAAATATGGAGGTGATGACATCCCAGCATCACCCTACAGAGTCCATGCCACATCAGCTGGTGCTGCCAGCATGTCCGCATTGAGTGGTATGTGACACAGTCTGACATCAAGCATCTCATCTTTTTACCAATTTGATTTATTTATAATGTGTCCTCCCCCAGGTCCTGACATGCATCCCACTTTGGCTTTTGGTGAGGAGATGTTTTTGTATCCCATTTCAGTGGCAGCACCGTTGGAAGAACACAGCCCTCATTTGTCGCACATTGTTGGGTTATATGGACTGCAGCAAGATCTGCAAAGTCCGCAATGGCCATGAAGCCCACTAAAGCCAGAAGTGATTAACTGCTAAAGGGAATAGTCTGACTTTTACTTTAGAAAGACTTAAATTATTCCCATTAGTAACACAATTAAATCAATTAGCTAATGTAGTTATGAGACTAATCATTAAAGATTATATTGCTATATGAATGTTATTAAAAATGGTTGAATTTTTAAAAAATGATAATAACTTTATAAGGCATCTTTCTAAAGAAAGTTACAAGAGACAAAAGTAAAAGGAGATACAAATGAGTAATAAAGAGAATGAAAAATCAGCCAATTAAAGCTAATATAAAAAATAAATTACATTTAAAATGATCACTGAGACAAGATAATTTGAATAATTATGAAAGACAACAAATGCAGTGGAGGTGTGGAGGCACAGGAAAAGCCTGAAAGAGATACTGTTCCAAAGACAGGATTGTGGGATAGCAGAGCCTCGGCTGAGGACCTCAGGTTACGACCTGCTCGTACGATGTGAGGACATTTGAAATATACAGTGGCATGAGCCCAGATTGGACAGCAACATCAAATAAAATCTATTTTAGAAATTGATAGGTAGCCATTAATAAGTGTTGCTGTGAGTGTGTTGGACGCATCAGAACCAGTCATGATTATTCTGTCTTTTGCCCATTTAGCTGCAGGAAGTTCTATGGCATCCAGCGTTTAATTTATGGATACAGTACATTGAGTTTGGAAATGGTTCTAAAATTATCCAACAGAGTCTAGAGAGGGTATTTTCAAAAGAGGTTTTATGAGGTTTTTTTTAAGTATTTAGCTACAATCTGTTAATTCTGTTGTTGTACATTTTATCCTACTTGTGCTCAAGCCTCTGTAATACAAACATGTCACGCTTGCCAAATGTTTTCTTGCATCTTGTTCTTTAAATATCGAATCCCAAATAAAGAAAATCTCTAAAGAAATCTCCTACAAAATGATCTTCATCCATCCAGTGCATTTTAGAGTTTAACATTTGATTTAGAGCAATGAATGTGTTTCCTGTGCAGTTTATGGAAAGATCATCACACTGCTTCACACTCACACACTGGTACTCTGGAAACAAGTGTCTATGGGTGATGTTTGACAGATATTCATTAGTCCATCTCCTCCCGACTTCCTCTGACATACTGAACTCTGTGCCACGTTTTCCCAGCATGCAGATCTTTTGGGACAAATTTTCCTGGTTGAAGTGTGGGGTGGGGGGACAGAGGTAAACTGTTTGAGGTAATATGGCTCTAGGCCTCTGAAATCATCTGAAATCATGGAGGCAAGGTGGTAAGTGTATGGGTTTTTAAAAAAATAAAATAAATGACATAACATTAATTACCTATAAAACTGTGTTTTATAGCAATCAGTAGATCTGCAGACATATATGAGATCAAGGAACAAACATTCAGACAGACTGAATATTTCACTGAGTTTACCATCTGGTACAGTACATTGTTTACCCCCAACAAAATTTGTCCCTTGACAAATGACTCAATATTTGTAAGTCCTCTTTGAAGGCATCGTTTTGTGCTAGTTTAATAAGCACAAGGTCAGTTGTCAGTGTTCCTGTCATGGACATTTATGGGTTTTGCTGTTTTGTCTTTTTTGGCTAGTTGCTGAATTCCCTGGATTTGCTGCTGTATGCCATTGTGGAAATGTTTACGTTTGTCAGAATTTTTTTTCTCTTTCATTACTTTTGTTTGTGGTCCTTGTTTCATGGCCTGGGGTCAGTTTACCCACTTTTTTTTGAGTTTGTTTGGACCAAAATTAATACTGTAACCATAAAAAAATAATTAAACTATAAATATTTTCAAATAATATAACTAAGCAGATCCACTCAGAAAACAAACCAAAAATCAAACTGAATTAATTTTTTTTTGGATGGAATTCAAATAAAAGCCAATTAGAAAATACAAAACTGTAATAACTCTGCTGAGAACAAAGTTCTTCAAATATCCACTTCCACCCAAAACAAGGATACAACAAAATCATGAATGTTTTCCATCCTTCACGTGCAATTTGAAGATTAAGATTTGGGTTTGAGAACAGTGAAGTGATACTAAAAAAGGAGAACATCTCTTGTTTCATGCTGTCATACCTAGCTTTTGTGGAAATGGTTCACTAAGTGGTTAACCCGTGGAAGTGTCTTTGCTGATGAATGATTGCAATCCGACCGAGCGTGGCATGATCGGCGACATGGCCGTCTCCTGTGATTTATAAAAGACTTAGAATAGCAGGTTTAAGTTTCCCATGCCTGGTGACAGGCACCAGAATGACTCCATCAATCATTCCAGTATTTTTAACTATGCTTCACATGTTAGCGAGAACATGGGGCGATCGTGGCTCAAGAGTTGGGAGGTCGCCTTGTAATCGGAAGGTTGTCGGTTCGAGCCCCGGCTTGGACAGTCTCGGTCGTTGTGTCCTTGGGCGAGACACTTCACCCGTTGCCTACTGGTGGTGGTCAGAGGGCCCGGTGGCACCAGTGTCCGGCAGCCTCGCCTCTGTCACTGCGCCCCAGGGCAGCTGTGGCTACAATGTAGCTTGCCATCATCAATGTGTGTGTGATTGGGTAGATGACTGGTTGTGTAAAGCGCTTTGGGGTCCTTAGGGACTAGTAAAGCGCTATACAAATACAGGCCATTTACCATTTATCACAGGGAAAATTAACATTAAATTACCAACCAATCAGCACATTAAAGATAACAGTGATAACACAAACCTCTGGTCCTGTAGTCACGGAGATGTGATTTGATGTTACTGGATGGAACAGAATAACTAACTTGAAGAAAACTAAATAAAATATCCAGCTAATTTTTTCAGGTTTAGTCCCACTTAATCCAGTTTGTCAACAAAACCAACCGAGCAGGTATTGGTGCAAATGTTTATTGAGAATAGGATGTCTACATGATAACTTGTGTTATAAAACCTATTACAACATCAGTTTTCCCCTGATAAATCATCCATATTACAGTGCAGGAAACCAAAACAAATACAAGCTGCACTCAAATGACAACACCTGGAACTAACAGGAACTGAAATGGAAAGAAACATTCAGAAGGAAATGAAAACAAAATGCATTGTTGGGAAAACATTTCAACATAAGAGAAATAAAGAGCTGACTCGCTATAGTGTAAAGTATTTTAGTAGCCACATATTGGATAACTGAATTCAAACATAAAAACAGACAGACCTCATACATTTAGTAGATAACATATCTGTTGACCTCCTAAAATGAAAACTGTTTAACTGGAGCAATCCACATAAATGCCAGATAATCTGTTACTTACACAAACACATCATTTTATACATTCAAGCATTAAAGCTGAGATTATCACTTCTCTTTTGTATGATTACCAAAGTGTCTCATAAACAACACAAAAGAAGGATTCATCATATTGGACTGAAATTCAATTTCAGTTGAGACTCGTTACAATCAGTCGCCCCAAGGTTTTTTAGGTTGTAACAGTTGGTATCACAGAATTTAAAAGCCACCTTACATATGGTTATAAAGCTATAAAACACCGTCCTCTGAAAAGGATTTGTACCCCAAATCTATATAAACAAACTGCCCCATTAGACTAAGCTGAATCATTTCTCTACAGTTAAATAGTATTAATATGAGATAAATGTGTCATAACTGTGAAGTGTATTTATTTATTTTAAACAAGGATAGTTTTATCATGTGAGCTCTCTAACTAGTTGTCATGCAATTTGTGTGTTTATTTCCACCACTTCTGGCTTCATGGCTATAAACTACCACTCTACTTCACTGATGCGGGCAACATCTTCAGTGGGATTTTACTCAGATTACTTACGTATGGAAACATCTTCTCAGTGAAAGTGTGTGTGAAGGTGTGTATTTGTGTTTTGGTGTCAGGATCAGAGAATGACACCTTCCCCCTGTTCCAGTCCAGCTGAACTCTGACCTTCTTGACCGCCTTTAAAAAAAGAACGATGGAAGACTCTGGCAGGGAGCGCACGGTGTATTCACCTTTATAAAACCCTAGCCTCCATAATCCAGATTGCGGCTCTCCCTTCCTTTTGACAGACTCTGCTAACACACCGACTTTCCAGTCTGTGCTGTTTCCAACTTCAACATCCCAGCTGTGAGTGCCTGAATAAAAGCCCTCGGAGGCCATAGCAATCGGGTAGAAGTCAAACCTCTCTGGATTGTCGGGAAGCTGCCGTTTCTCACTGACGCTCACACCGGTCAGATCTTCAGAGATGAGGAGATTTGGCTGGGCAGAGTTTGGGTCCAGAATCACAGGAGAGTAGGAGACCATCTTCTTCATCTTGTTCCAGATGTTGTAACCCAGGTTGCCCAGGTGTTTGGCCACATCTATCAGAGCTTCTGAGACCAGTTGTGGGTCATCCAGCTGGGGGTACAGCTGGACCATGTTCATTGTACCCTTGTAGTCCTGCAGAAAAGCGATGTTTTCAGCTTTCAGCTCCTCCTCTGCAGCTCTGATTGTGGCCGAAAGAGCTGCCATCTCTCTGCTCAGAGCAGCAATCTTCTCCTTCATCTGCTGACTCTTCTCTTGCTCTTCTATATTCAGAACAGCCAGCCTTGTCTTCTCTTCCTCATCTAGAAACATGCGAAACTTCTTAAACTGCTCCTTGATCTGCTTCTCTGTTTGTTGAGCCTGGGTCTTAATGTGTTGCTCTGTTATATCAAAGTTTCCCTTCGCTTTTTGTAAGACCTTCAGTTTGTCCTGTAATGGTTTTAGGGATTTCTGAAGCTCTTCCTTGTGATCCTGCGCGGCCTCATCGATGGGCCAGAACTTGTGGTCGACGTGTGCTCTTGAATCACGACAGATGACACAGGCTGGCTCCTGATGGTCCAGACAAAAAAGTTTGAGTTTCTCAAAGTGCAGACTGCACAAAACCTCAGACCCTGCCGAAGCGCTCTGATTTTTCTTTTTTAAGTAGGCCTCAGCGAGGTTCTTTAGGACCAAGTTACAGGGTGGGTCACTCTGCTCTGACATTTTCTTACAGACTGGGCACTGCTGTTCCAGCTTCTGTGCCCAGCAGTTCTTCAAACAAGTCTTGCAGAAGCTGTGGCTGCATGACAGGAAAACAGGATCCCTAAAGATGTTATGGCAGACGGGACAGGAAAGATCCTCTTCGGACTGGAAAGACATCTTTTCTCAGAGAGAAGCTGAAAATGCACCGAACAGAATTGTATAACAGGAAGGCGGCCAGGTTTACTTTCACTTTTGGTTTGTGTTATAAACATAATATTTCGTCTCCTTAGAAGGGAACAAATGAACTCTTACCTTAACTATACTAGTTTCGCCTTGTTTTCCTTTCTCTGTTTTGATTTTAACCTTGAGATAAATTTCTCACCCAGACAACGCTTTTGTTTTTCTCAGAGGAAGAACGCCCAGGCTTCCTTTTTTGTTTTGTTTTTTTACCCATAGCTGAAAGAGCGTAGTCAGGTGGGCGGAGTTTTGTCAGAAAGGAGACAAAGGTGTGACCTGTTTTAAAGTGCTCCTAAACTATTCCCATTTTAAAGCTTTTTCAGCAGTACAGTAGTTCAGACATGGAAACAGACAAAAAATAAACTCAACAATAACAACAGCTGTCTTATTAAATTAAAGATTGTGGAGGTATGTAAAGACTACAGGAGAGGCCTCAATATGTCTCACTCCAACTTTATTAACGGCTTCACTAGAACTCCGTATACAAAAAGCGCCAAACCTCCACCCCATCACTTCCCTTAACCTTGGGTGTGAGTGGAGCCACCTGGTGGTCCGACCCCCCACCCCAAACACACGTGAACGAGGCTGGTGTAGGCGGGCAGGACAGGCAGTCGGTTGGAGGGTGCTCCTGGGGGAAAACCAGAGTCCATTCACCCCGTGGCAGGAGGGCGGCCAGAAGAAGAAAAGGATGAGGAGGGGCTCTAACTGATAATGAACATAACTACAGGCTTGGAGGTCCTAAAAGTCAGGTATAAAAGGAACGGTCTGGGGGTTTAGAACACATTTTGTGTAATTATAACAATGTGATTTATGACCCTGTTACACAGACATTCAGTGTAATACAATCAATTCACTGATCTTAATGTTCTCAGGTAGGATGGCTCAAAATACTTGTAACAATCAGAGTAACAAAATGAGTATTAAAACAAGAAAAAAGAAGAAAAACCAACAAAAATGTTTTAATTATTCAGCTGTGAGGTCATTTTTTAATAAAAGAGATTTGTTGCATATTTAGTCTTTTAGGGACTCATCATGTGAACATGATTCATACTTTCAGCTTTTTGAATAAAAGGCAGTTTTATTTTCTATTGCAGCCCCAAATGTAATATTATCAGACAAGATTACTTTGTACTTTGAAAGTCTGTATGGATTTATTTACACATTTCAACTAAATGTTGAATTTGGGGGTTTTACCTTAAGAGCTAAAAAATATCATTTTTTGACATTTGAAACATTTACATCTTCAAAAACTCTGAGGCCAAATGTACAACACTGAATTGTTTACACCGAGTCAAACCTGCTTCATCAAAGGGGTTCAGTGTTCCTTTGGGTCAAAGGGTCCACTGATTTATCCGTGTTCACCTCTTTAAGTTCACTTTGTGTTTGTCTCCACCTAGTGGTCGATGAGAATTACTGCAAATCAGTTCAATCATTTACCTTCTACCAGACAAAAGCTCTTCTCAATACTCAGTTAAAATGCAACAGAGTAACCAGAGAAAAAATGAATTCAAAATGAAATATATTTACCGTTTAGAAGATAACAAACAGCTGCAAATATTGTTAGTTTGATAAAAAATAGTCTACTTCATGTGTTGCAGCCAGTGTTTTTGACAGTCACAACCTCATAATACAACCTTTTGTTTGTACTTATAGTGTCTAAGTGATCTTTCTATCACAGTCTCTGTATGACACTAAGGTGTTATACAAGTTTGTGTATGCACCATAAAATAGGGCTGTGTAATCCTGTGTTCCTTTTTATTCTGTTGTACTTACCTTTCTTTATCGCTGTGGCCACTTTCACTGACAGCTGCAGCCAATCCCTCTGTGCTTGACTAATTGAACTGGACCTAACTACTCTGTGCTCTTAGTGCCTTTTTAGCATTTTAATAGAATTAGCTATCAGATCATTTTCAGTGCAGAACAAAATATCATTTGTTTTATGGATTTTATGGTCCAATTTTGTTGAGCTAATATTTCTTTTTAGTTTGTTGTTTATCAGCTTTAATTAGCAGGAAAGAACTGCTTTGCGCAGTTTTTGCAGTTTGCAACCAACCTAGTATTTTATAGGTTTTAGGGTTTTTTTTACACTTGAAGGGAAAACATTGGTATGTGGCTATAGTGTCAGTCATCATCATCATCATCAACATTATGAATAACATCATCGTCGTCATCAAGAATGCCATTAACTGTTTCACCACCTTGATCGTGATCTCCTTCACTATCAGAGTCTGCACTGTCATGAGACACTCGTGGTAATATCTTCAATGGCAGTTCGTTCTTGGTGTAAACAAATGGAAAAAGTTTCTGAGTGAAAGAGTGTGTGAAGGTGTAAATGTTGATGTCAGGATCAGAGAATGACAGCTTCCCGCTTTTCCAGTCCAGGCAAACTCGGATCCTCTGGAGCTTTTTCTTTGGATGAAAGGAGGACGAATCTAGTGGGGAACGTATGAAATAACTACCCTTACTGAACCACACAGCCCACAATCGACACTTAAAGTCTGTTTGTCCCTTTCTTTTAGTTGATTCTTCAGCCACACCAACTAGCCAGTTTGGACTGTCTCCAACTTCAACATCCCAGCTGTGAGTCCCTGAGTCGAAACACTCTGAGCCCAGGACGATCGGATAGCCATCAAACCTCTCTGGATTGTCAGGAAGCTGCTGCCTCTCTCCAAGGCTCACACTGGTCAGATCTTCAGATATGGAGAGGTGTGATTCAGCTGTGTTTGGATCCAGGATCACAGGGGAGTAGGAGACCATTTTCTTCATCTTGTTCCAGACGTTGTAGGTCAGGTTGCCCAGGTGTTTGGCCACATCTATCAGAGCTCCTGACACCAGCTGTGGATCATCCAGCTGGGGGCACTGCTGGACTCTGCTCACTGCAGCCTTGTAGTTCTGCAGGAAAGCAATGTCTCGTGCTCTCAGCTCCTCCTCTGTGGCTCTGATTGTTTCTGAGAGACTTGCTATCTCTCTGCTCAGAGCTGCAATCATTTCACTCATACTCGCACTCTTCTCCTCCTCTTCCTCTCTCAGAGCAGTGATCCTGGCCTCCTCTTCCTCTTGCAGAAACTGGTGAAGCTTCTTAAACTGCTCCTTGATCTGCCTCTTTGCGTGAAAGGCCTGAACCTTAATGTGTTCTGCTGTTTGAACAAAGTTTCCTTTAACTCGTTCAAAGGCCTTCAGTTTGTCCTGTAAGGGTTTCAGTGAGATCTGGAGCTCCTTTCTGTGATCCTGCGCAGCCTCATCGATGGGTCTGAATCTGTGGTTGCTGTGAGTTTTTGAGTCTCTGCAGATGAGACACGCTGGCTCCTGATGGTCCAGACAGAAGAGTTTGAGTTTCTCCGAGTGCAGACCGCAGAGCGACTCGGACTCTGCTGAAGCACTCTGATTTGTCTCCAGCAAGAAGTTCTCACACAGGTTCTTTAACACCAAGTTACAGGGTGGGTTTTTCTTTTTAGATGCACTCTTACAAACAGGACACTGGCGTATTTCTTTCTTTCTCCACCATCTTTTCAGGCAGTTTCTACAAAAGCTGTGGCTGCACGACAGAACAACAGGGTCTCTGAATATGTCTCGACAAACGGGGCAGGACAGCTCTTCTTGGATTCCAGACGACATTTTATCTGTGACTGACGCTGTTAACAAACCACACAAACAGGAAGTTAGAAACTTACTAATCTATAGAAGGTACTTCCACATTTTTAGGGCTCTAAAAACTCACGTAAACGAGGTGAAGTAATCCCAAATCTCTTCTCCTTCTGTGGGTTTTGTCTTCTGGTGAATAATATTGAATTTTTTTTTACAGAGTTTGAAGTTTCCCCTCAGTTGAAAAAGATCTGCTTCCTCTTTTTAGTAACGTAAGTCAGGAAACACGTGGAGCGCGCTCATACGTCAGAGGTGCTACATCACTTTAAATTTGTTTATAGTATTGAAGATATCAGTTAAAGAGACAGCATCATCTTCCGTGGATTATTTTAGCCTCTATCCACCAAGATGAGTTCATATAATGTATCATGATTTTTTTTTTTGCCTCTGTGCACCACGAAATTTTTTTTTTTCAATCAGTATGTGATTGAAGTCCAGATTTTCAAATTTAACTCAATGAAGTTAATGAAAAAAAGTCTTTGTGTAGGAATTACATAGATTTTTATACAAAGACCCCCATTTCACAAGCTCAAAATATAATTAGACAAACCAACGCCTTGAACATGGGCTGCTTTTGAAACAGCTCTTGTTGTCAGTGACTGTCAGAAGTCTATAACTGCTTTTCCGCAACTGCGCAATCTCTTTTACATTTCCGGCCTTCTTCTTCTTGAGTGTAACCAGTGGTTTGCGCCTTGATGTAAACCCTCCTCTACATTCATGAAGGTATTTATAGATTGTGAAGTTTGTTTTTCTTAACCATGGAAAAAATTATGTGATCATCTTCTGCAGTTGTCCTCAGGCCTTTTCATGTTGCTGTGCTTGCCAGTGCAATCATATTGAGAGTTTGAGCAAACAGCTAACAACGCACTTTCAAGACTCTTTAATTTTGTAGCATCTTCAACTTAAAAAAAAAACTAACTTGAGACTTGAGTCAGTGTGAAGTGGCATCATATGTCTCTAAAAGTAGAATTTTTAGGTATCTGTACTTTATCTTAGTTTTTATTTTTCTGACAACTTTTTAATTTTATCAGTGACACATGATAAACTGTAGATTTAAATTTTACATGTAATGTCATAATTTTAATTACTTATTGGATTTTATATGTGTTATGATAAATTATGTATTTTCATTTTGTGAAATCTCCAGCAAAATAAACAAAGCTATACAAACTTAGTTTATTCAAATACTGGGTAGTTTTGTCCAAAATAAACAGGTTAGTTTGCAGTACTGTGGCGAATTCACAGTAAAGCACTGTGTTGGACTGATGCAAGGTGGTTGTGGTGCTCATGGTTTCATTTAGATTTAGGTTACATCAAGTGTAGCAAATTGCATTTAGGTTGACGATGCTTGGACTAATTAGCTAAATTTCATCTCTATACCAACTGTATACTGTCTAGCATAAAGATAGTGTAAACAGTGTAGGGGATGGACGTCAGTCAAGACAGCAGGTCAGCTGATCGCTGCATGTACACTAAGAAAATCTACCGAAGCTCACAGTAGAAAATTACTGTGAGTTGTGATTGTTTTCCGTGTGCTGAGCAACTAAACTGTTTCGATCATTACCTGCTAAATCCCACTGTAACTCCCGATTGTACTAATTTTCCTGTTTAGGTGTGGAGGTGAATTCACCATCTACAATGTAAGGAACAGAAAATTGTTATTTTTTAAAACTCTCTTTCACTTCATGTGTCCTACATAACAGATTCAAGCTTTCATGAGAATTAGAATTTAGACTGGAGTAGCATTTGCGTCCTCATGTACTAATATTGTTTTATATTATATTAATATAGTGCATGGTTCAGTTATCTTTTACAAGAATGGTTAGCAGAATTGTCCTTCAAAGAAGTACTTTTTTCTTTCCTGCGAGTACATTTCAGAGCCTGTATTTCACTTTTACTTGAGAAAAACAGCTGCTACAGTATTTCAGCTGTTACTGGAGTATTTGTAAACACAGGTACTTGTACTAAAGTAAAGGAAGTCTGTACTTTTGCCATCTGTGATAAAATGTAAGATGTAATGAACTACTGTTGCAGTGAAATGACAATAATTTGTATGCATAATCATAAAGATCTGATGCGAAATTATTTGCAGATATGTATTTTTTCCAAGTTTAAAAAGACAAAAAAGCAAGGAAGGTCCAAAGAGCGGGACAAACACATTTTCATAAAATCTGCTGTTTAATAAAAACCATGGCACAAATACAATGTGGAAAAAAATTGAAGTTTTACACAGATGAAAGTTATCGATCTATAAATCACACAATTTTGTGATTTAAAAATAACATCTAAAGACAACCATGTGATTTTACTGCATTAGAAAAGAGACATTCAGATGTTTTTACTCTGCTATGAAACAAAATACTAAGCCATGAATAATGAGTCTTAAGGCACTGCTGGCTCATATAGATCACAGTTCAGTATACAAGTCAAAAATACCTAATTGATGGTGACAACACCAACTCTGTCTGTAGAAATATTTAGCCAATAAATACATTAGTAAACTGACCAAATACACAACACCAAATTAAGTTTTTGCATTAAAAAAAAAATCAAACTTATCATCTCTTCGCAACTTTTCAGAAGCAGTCGTAAACGCACAGATGTATAGATGTTACGTTGTGCTCTGTAAACTTATGAACTTAAATATATATATAGTAATTTAATTTATTGATAAAAGATGTTATCTGGATCCAGAAATCTTTGTACCATTTAAACTACAATATTGCACCACTAACTCTGGTTTTGTCATTTCTTGTTTAAATTTTAAGCGCTTAGCAAAGAAACTCTAGTTTTTTTGTTTTTTTTTTAAAGAAATGTTAGTACATATACTAATAAGAAGCTCAATCTAAATGCAAAAGACTACAGCGATGGTATAACAGGCGTTATTTTATAACCCATGAAAACAAAATTAGTGCCAGTCAGTTTGCAGCTAAACATAGTCACCTAAAGAAGAAACACGATTTCCTCTTTACTACTTTCAATCTGAAGTTGAATTGCATATTTGTGGCATTTTTTTTTTACATGTTAAGTGACAAGTTTAAATCAGACTGTCTGTACAGTGCATCAAACTAAAAAAAAAAATCCGAGCTCTTTAAGTCGATGGTAAATGTTTTATTCTTTCTTTAGTATTTTAGCTTTTCTGCAGGTGGACTCCTCAGTGTTTGCAGACAGCTGTTTAGCCTCGACATGCATCTGTCTGAGGGAGTAAGGTTAGCGCACAGCCAATAGGAAAATATACGCAGCCTGTGCAGGGCCAATGGTTATGTGGATCTTGACACGCTAAGAACACTCCTGTAAAATATATTCTGAATTTCAAAAGCTTTCTTTCCTGGATAACCCCGTGAGGTCTAACCCACCCACCACTTTACAGACATTAATTAATCCTGATCCTAAACAAATGGAACAATTCCAAGAATAATTCCTCTGTAAAGTTTTTTCTTTGAGACCAGACTTTATCCTTGTCTGGGAAACAGAGCCTGTATGCTTTTTAGAATGTGTGTTGGTTTGGAGCCTCGCTTGGTACCAAGCTAATCACAATGTGCAAAACCAAAATTTACATTCAGATAGCAAGGCCTGAAAACAGTGTTTCAGGTACTTGTGATTGCCAAAGATGAACTCGGAGGGTTAAATAAATTTAAGAAATTTACAGCTTCAACAAATATTAGTATAAAAAACCAAAACAAAAAAAACCAAAACATCTTTACTGCATATAGTTAGCTTTTTGATGCATGGAAAATTTCTTTTGAACAGTCAATGTGAGGAAGACATGGAAACTACCGGCCATCTATATATACATAAACTACAATCTCATTACATTAAACCTTATTTGCAGTGGAAGTAATACTGAAAAGAAAAAAAAATGTCTTTAGAAAAAAAAAATGTATTAACAAAAATGCACAGGTGAGCTGTTGCATCCTGATTAAGCAAATCAGACTTTGTGTGGTGAAAACATTTTAAAGTGCACTGAAGAAATCCACATGTTGGTAGATTAATGTGTAAATGACATTCACTGTTGTACTACTTCAATACAAATAGGGCTTAAAATAGTTCTCACTCACAGTGAAGCCAAAACCGAATGTTGTCAAAGCTTCAGATTAAATGTCATCACCGACAGAAATTACAAAAATATTCTGAGTTGTTCTGTTTTTGTATAAAGTAGAAAATATTTTTATACTTTAGGATGTAAAAAGATACACAGATGGGTACAGTTACAGCTTTACATAGAAAAACGAGAGGTTGGCGGGTTCAGAAAACAGCAAAACTCAATATACAAACAATATTGTTAGTGTTACAAAATTAAATAGGACAGTGGCAATAACAGAATAAATTATTAGCTATGGAAACATGTTCATTATCCTCACTGTAGAAAAGGCTGAGGATGAGACGACACGTGTCGGTTTGGTCACATATGGTGCTGCTGGCTGATTAAAGTTTAATCAGGTGGTTACTGTAGTGAATAAGGCTCTCAGAGTGTCCAGAAACTCGAGCTGTCAGGACCACGTCACTCAAGTTTGTCCCCAGTCAGTCTTTAATAAACTCTCTGCCTCGCTCAAGTCTGCCTTTCTGCTTCTTCACGTCAGTTTGTGTCCTCGCAGACATGCAAAGGTAATGACTGGTTATTCTGCCGCAGGGTGCATTGGTGCTTATACTGAATTACAATTACTAAAACAAAATAATCAAGGTAAGGTGTAAACCTGAATATGGAATTATGCTCCTAGTATCTGGCCGGCAGGTGTCCTGAAACGGGCATTTCATGTAATAAGAGCATATACAAATAAATCCAAAAATGACTATTGAGATGAAATTAATAGAATGGGTCTAATTTAAAGGAGCAATTGGAGATCATTTGCATGATTTGACCACTAGGTGGTGATAGGAAAACATTTGACTGGTTCCTCTTTTTTAACTAAATGTAAAAAATTTGTTTTATTTATAAAATTTATGTTGACGTAGTGATATCTACCTATACAATTTGATGGGGACAACACAAACAGACCCCTTGTCTGTCCTCCACTGCATCCTTTGACTCATCTCTCCATCTCGCCTACTTACAAATGCCATCTGACTCTGGTGGAAACAGTGCAGCTGTTCTAACTGCCTCACATCTGGAGGCTTTTCTTTACCTAAGAAAATCAGAAGTCTTCAAACCAGTGCGAGTGCAGTCAGAGCTCACTTGCTGCCCGTTTCATAGGC